GTGTGGGTGGCAACTTGCACTTTAACTTCCAAAGCACTTAGAATCAGTAGTAACTTAACCTTAAATCACTCAAAACATTTCAAAGGATCATGCAACAACACAAAAGATTAATCACGAGTTAATATCCTTAGTTTATCAGCCTGGCCATGGCCGAACATTTAAAGATACCAAACAATGATTAATAAGCAGTTTATTCTTTCAAAATGACCCGAAGGACGAATTTGGAACGAAAGAGGAAAACACGAAGCTACTTTTTTTAAGCAATAGCGCGGTTTTATTGCTTATTCTGGACTATAGAGGAAACGGGAGAAGAAAAGAATGAGAGAAAAATGAGTTTTCTGATCACCAAAAGAGCGAGGCGTCCCTCCCCCTTTTGATTTGACGGTTCTCCGTGTTTCTCCGCAGTTTTCAGCGTCATCCGCCGGTTTGATGCTTTCTCCGTTGTTTGGCTCCACGAGTGTTTCTCCACGGCTGGACACAAAGAAAACGAAGTTCCTTTTGGGCTGAGTTTGACAACTTACAGCGTTTCTGAGAGCTGGATGGAGTTGTTGTTTCCCTCCGCTGGTTCTGTGTCCTCAAACATCAGCTGGAGGGGAGCAGAAACGAGCAGATCAGCGGTCCCGTGGGCTCAACTTGGCTCTTAGAGCTTCCGCGTGCTCAAAGAAGTCGGAGCGTTCGACAAGCGTGTCCTCACCGCCAGGTATCCTGGGCGAAAGAACGAAGTTTCTTTGTCTCTGCTGAAGATTTATGGTCTTAGTTCGCGGGGAAAGCTCCACGGCTTCCCGCACATGCGCAGAACGTGTTTCTGGTACTAGGCGGTGACGTCATTACAATGCTTCCGTGTGCAAAGCATCATGGGAAATGAAGTTTCTTGGCGCTGATGTGATTATTTGCTTTTCAGAGCAATTTAAGCACAGTCATTTTGGAGAAAATCACTGCATAGTAATTTCCTCATGAGGTCAGACCCTCAACAGGGTAATGATTCAATTGTAACCAGGGGCGGCGTTAGGCCCGGCTACTTGGGCTGAAACCCCGGATGTTTTATGAAAAGCCCCGGATCTTCTTCAGTCCTAAATCCGCTCGATTGTACCTAAATGTTTTTAGGCCATTTTTTGTCCTTTACGTGTTGACTTTTCTAATTTTTTAGGCACACCCCAGATGATAGCTTTTCATGGTTTCTTATAGAGGAGTGAGAGAAAAAGCAGCTGAAGTCCAAAGACAAAAGATGATATTCAAAGTCTGGAGAACGAAGACCTGGTTGCAGTAAAATATAGATAAAATAAACCATACGTTCTAAATGTAGACTGATGTGTGCATGCTTTATCTTCATAAATATTGATTTGACTTTGATACATTTTTGGTGTTTATTGTAGCTCCTGATTTAACATACAGTGCTGCTTGAAAGTGTGTGAACCCCTTGAGCTGTTGAGATGTTTCTGTTGTTTTACCATGATTTCCTCATTTCATCATCGCCAGTTTTTAAGTATGAAATGTCAGATATATGTTTATCAGTTACACGTACTTGTTTAGTGGAACTTGTTTAAGTTGCCAGAAAACTTCATGAAGCATGAAATTAGTGTTTGTGCAAAAGTAAGTGTATGCCCAGCTGCACTGGGTAAGCCGGGCAGGTAACACACTCAAGTGAAACATGTATGGGTGCCTAATTAGTTATTTAAGAAGACCAATAAAATGGGACATCCTTGGGAAAGGGTTTGGCCTGCTCTAGTTAAAGCAAAGAGGAAACCAACCAAACCACTGTGGTCCCGTAAAAATCAACAAAGCTAAGAGCAAAGGAGATATCCAAGGACATAAAGAAGAGGGTAGTGACAGCCCCATTAGTCTGCGGAAGGCTATGAGACCATCTCCAAATGATTCCAGCTCCATTCATCCACGGTAAGATAGACAATTTACAAATGGAGGGCCTTCAACATGACAGCAACTTTGCCTAGAAGTGGACGCCCATCAAAAATAGCCTCTGCTCTCCAAAAGGAGCAAAGCTGCCCGTTTCAACTTTGCCAGAGAGCACCTAGACAAACCAGAGGCCTTCTGGAAGTCCATTCTCTGGACAGACGAGTCCAAAATAGAATTATTTGGTCACAATCAAAACCGCCATGTTTGGAGAAAAGCCAGCATGACATATGAAGAAAAGAACCCCCTCCCAACAGTGAAATATAGCGGTGGAAATGTGAAGGTCTGGGGCTGCTTTTCTGCTTCTGGACCTGGCCGACTCCATATTATCCAAGGAACCATGAATTCTTCAGCATATCAACAAATTCTTGACCAGAATCCACTGCCATCAGTCAGGGTGTTAAAGCTGGGCCGAAAACGGGTTATGCAACGAGACAATGATCTGAAGCCTTCCAGCAAAACTACGAAGGAATGGCTTCAGAGAAACAGGATTCGCACTCTGGATTGGCCCAAAGTCCGGACCTTAACCCAACTCAAATGTTGTGGCGAGACCTGAAGAACATGGTACATGCCAGATGTCCCTCCATCCTCTCTCAACTGGCTGAGTTCTGCAAGGAAGAGTGGGCAAAAATCCCCATAAGCAGATGTGAGAGACTGGTTAGTGGTTACAGAAGACGTTTAGTCGAAGTAATGGCTGCAAAAGGAGGAGCCACAAGCTACTAATGCAAGGGTTCACATACTTTTGCACGTTACATTTCTTTGTTCTATTAAAGGGGCATTATGGAAGTTTGACAGCCAAAACATGTATAGAAATAATAAATTTCTTCTTCATACATTCTCCTGCAATGCCCTGGTCCTGTAGAATGAGCCCTGGCATTTTTACTGTGATTGCCTGTTTTTCTGTAAAATCACAGAAAAAGAGAGATGCTCGGGTCGAGCAGGCTGCTTCATGCGCGTTCACACTCAGGCATAGCCCGTAGCATTTGCTATCAGTAGCATTAGCAGCAGAGAGTGAGGTAGTGCCAACTCAGCAACTTTGTCGCTGTTCCTAACGCCTTGTGATGAACCTAGTTACATTTCTGAGGACCCTTAGCTACTTTCTTCTAGATATTTCCTGCAAATTAGCAACAAAATAGCCATTTTCGCTCCGAACCGTTCTTTGAATGTTGTTTCAGCTGTCATCAAAGATATAACTATTACAGATGCAAAAGATGTCACTGGTGCTATAGATCACCTAGTGAGATGTTGGACTCTCGTGCGGAAGACCCAGGTTCGATTCTGGCTGGAACATAGTTTATTTAGAGTTTATTTTTTTACACTAATGGTATATTTTTTTACAGTAAGATGCCCAAATTTTTATTTGAGACTCGCAGAACGGCATTGAATTCACAGATAAAAAAGATGTGGGTTCAACTTTCATTTTGGAACAATTTTTCAAGCAAGGGAAGGGAATGATCTGAGCATGCAGGAGGACTGACCCATCATAAACCTTTGTCGGCTGTGCAGAAGAGAAAGGTACAGAACCAAATTATTTAATTAATTAGCTGTGCATTCTCCTGTCCTCCGGGTCACCCACCCACCCACCCACCCACCCACCCACACACACACACACACACACACACACGACTGTCTCAGCTGTTATTTTCGTTAAGGAGTGTGCATGTACAGCATGCGCGCCTCGTGCACGAGCCTACTATTGAAGCTGCCGTTACGCTTTTGGCCTGAGGCGGCAATCACGAGGATAAAAATTCAAAATTCCATAAAGTCCCTTTAAATAATGAAAATATAACTCTTTTTGTGTGTGTCTATTACTTGGAAAGCATGCTTTACAAACTGGGCTAAGGATGAGTGTACAATAGGGTTAATTTAATGATTTATACAGATTTAGTGACCATGGCCGGAGGGTTCACAAACTTTCAAGCAGCATTGCATTTTGCCTCTAATGATGCTTTGCTGACTAGATTAACATACAGGATTGTATCCAGGATGCAACCTTTTCAGGCCACACAGGTCCTGAGGAAGGGGCTTCTTTTTTATCTGGAAAAGAAAAAAATATTCTTTTATTCATTCATTGACACAGAAACTCAGTAGCATTAATGTGTAGTGAACCTTTTTAGGCTCTGTCAATTATGTAGAGTAATGGATTATGCTCTTTTATGAAAGAGGAACCATTCTACATATTAATATTTGAGATATTAATTTAAATAAATAAGGGGGGGGGGGGGGGACAGGAGCCGCAGGCTCCCTTCCCCGGGTGCGTGTTCAACACGTCCGAACTCTCTCGTTGACAAACTCGAACTGAATCATAAGACTGAAACTTACCAAACCCAGTTCTTTTCTCAAAGCAAACGTGTGCGTCAGAGCAAATGTGTTTTGGAGTTTACTGTGAGAGTTTGTGTGTGTGTGAGTGTTTGAGTGAGTATTTGAGTGTGTGAAGGTCATTACCAAACATCCTCAAAACATTATTTAATTAAGCATTGATTCATTAGTTATGATTACCCAAAGCATAATAATCATTCATTTGACTAAAACACATTTATAATAAGTAAAATGGTAAAATGATTATTTAGCATTAATAAACAAAGGAAGCGTAAGACTCTTTATTATGACTAGCTTCCATGGGAACACATCTTCTGGCACTGCAGGTGTTCAGATGTTATGGTTTCTCCCAGACTCGCTGGCGTTCAGGTCTTAATCTGTGGGTGAAAGTTCTCAGTGACCCAGCTTTGACACAGCCGGGCAAAGTATAACCTTTGGCACAGAAAACCCATATTTCCTCACGTTACAAATGTAATCAAGCTGGCTTTTGCGTGACCTTCGTCACCACCCTCTCCCTATTCTGCTCTTTCTACCTATTCCGCCTTTCCACAGATTTCCCTTTTTCCTATTCATTTTCTCTCTCCCTTTCCTCACATAATTTTTTTTAATCACAAAAATGTTTTTCTCTTATTTTAACCCTCCCACTGTCCTAATGGGTGTGACCCTGTGAGGAAAGCTGACCATTAAGCAGGGATGATGGTTTATCCCTTGGGTCCATGTGGCAGGGGTGAGGAGTGAGCACCACCTCACCCCTGCCACATGGACCTCAAGGGATAAACCATCAATCCTGCTCAATGCTCAACTTTCCTCGCGGGGTCACCCATGAAGACAGTGGGAGGGTTAAACATATTTTTAATCATTTTTTGAAATTTTTTTTATACTTGGTTTTTTTTGTGATGCGCCTCATGATTTTTATCTTGAGAAGCACTAAATAAAAGTGTGTTTTCTTTATTTTTCTTTCTCTAATCCAGTGTTTTTCTCCTAACCCACCAGATGTATATGTGTCCAGTTCTGTAAGACAAATTAAACATTATTAGTTTTATTTTATTTTCACTAGAAATAAAGATTATTTTCCCTTTGAAATGAAGCTGCTGGACTTTTACCCAGTTTTTACAGTGGCCGTCTTGCCTCAAAAGGCTGTGAGAGAATCTGAACAAGACTCTCCTGCATGGCTGAAGTAAACGTTTGAGCTGCCATCACCCGTTTGGAGTCCACAGAGACTCGAGGGGTGTGAGGTTCAAACTTTACGACTTTAGGCAACTCAAACGAAGCCTACGTGGAAGAAGAGGAGGGTTAGATTTCTGTCACATGGAATTGTTTTTATTTTTCCACCTTTATCCCACCTGTAGAAAAGCCGGGGTTTGGGACTGACTCAAAAGATCGCTGATCTCCTCTTTGGCTTTCTGCATCTTCTCATTGTTGTCCGTAAACCTATTCATGTAGTCTCGAAGTTTGGTGTGGCTGGCCTCCAGCTCACAGTCCACCTCGTGTTGAGCTAGCCGCTCATCGTGATCCAGCTTCTCCCTCATCTGCTGATACGCTGCAGCCAAGGCTGCTTTCAGATTCTCTGCAGCATCCTGAACAGAAGAGGGCAAATAAATCACACATCAACCTACTTTGTTAGGGTTAGGGTTGGCATGCATGAACGTATGACAAGTACCGTGAGTTTGCCCTGCATATCGTTCATCTGAAGCACAACCCTGTAAGTCCTGTCAATCTTCGCATCCAGTAAACCCAACTTCTCCCTGAATTCAGTCTGCAGACAAAGACATAAAATTTTTAATTTGGGTTTTTAAAAACTATTATTTAACCAGCAAGTTCCTTGAAACAGAGACCTGGTGTACATAGCACTAAATGTAAAAGTAACAAGGTAAAAATCCACAAGACAAGTACAGACAATTTATGCATTCAATGGAAATGTTTACAACTGCTGTGAACTGCCACAAAAAAAAAACATCCAATTCACTTTACCGTAATAAAAAAAACAAAAAAAAAACATGGTTGTAAAAGTGAATAAACAGCCATAAACACAGGGAACAAAAACAAAAAATAAAAATAGATAAAATACAGCATGATCTGGGTGTGGAATTTAGGGTTAGGAAATTAATGCATTAATTACGATGATTAGAAAAATTGGGGGCTGGAAAAGTTTAGCATCACAATTTATACATCAGTAAATACCATCAAGCTGTGCATCTATGAAAACAGCCAAGCCTGGGCTACGAGACCAAATAAACCTTTTTTACGTACTCCAAGGACAACTAAAACTACAACTCCTGCTTCATGAAGAAAGGAAAAAAAATATCCACTTTTTTACTGTTTTCTAATTAGTAGAAGGCAGACAGGCAATACCTTTATCCATGTGAACTTCATTACAGCAGAAGGGACAAGCATACGACATTCATCTTGTAACCTTCAGCAGAACTTTCCTAGAACTCTACACTACACCTCAATTTATATTAGCAGTGCTCTGCTGCCACCTAGTTTTCAGTTCAGTACACATTTACAATATCTTTGGTATGGCCTGACCGGGATTTAAACTCCGATTTCCCAGTCCCAGGACGGACACTCTACCACTACGCCACTTGATGTGTGTCTGTGAGGGACTTATCCCCTCAATAACAGTCATGTCTTCTGTTTCTGTTTAATCCTATATTTTTTGGGTGTATTTTAAGTCAAATTAAGCTTGGTAATCTATAAATTACTTTAAAGGGACTGTAAGGAAGTTTGAAGTTTTTATGCTCGCGATCGCCACTCAGGCCTAACGCGTAACTGCAGCTTCAAAAGTAAGCTCGTGCATGAGGTGTGCATACTGTACGTGCACACTCCTTAACAAAAATAACAGCTGAGACAGTCCCGTGTGTGTGTGTGTGTGGCCCGGAGGACAGAAGAACACAGCAAATTAATAAAAATAATGTGCCTCTGTCTCTGCAGCTGCACTTTCTCGACGGCCGGCCGAACGTGCAGTGTGTGTGTGTGTGTGTGTGTGTGTGTGTGCGTGGGTGGCCCGGAGAACAGAGGACAGGAGAACACGCAGCTAATTAATTAAATAATTTGGTTCTGTACCTTTCTCTTCAGCACAGCCGACAAAGGTTTATGATGGGTCAGTCCTCCTGCATGCTCAGATCATTCCTTTCCCTTGCTTGAAAAATTGTTCCAAAATGAAAGTTGAACCCACATCTTTTTATCCGTGAATTCAATGCCGTTCGGCAAGTCTCAAATAAAAATGTGGGCATCTTATTACTGTAAAAAAATATCATTAATGTAAAAAAGAAACTCTAAATAACAAATTAAGGTCACACCCGGAATCTAACCAAGGTCTTCTGCGTGAGAGTCAGACATCTTACTAGGTATGCTAAAGCGCCAGTGGCAGTCAATATATCTGTAAGTTTTATATCCTTGATGACAGCTGAAACAACGTCAATCCAAAGAACGGTTCGGAGCGAAAATGGCTATTTTATTGCTAATTTGCAGGAAATATCTAGAAGAAAGTTCTACAGAAAGAAGCTAAGGGTCCTCAGAAATGTAGCTAGGTTTGTCACTAGGCGTTAGGAACAGCGACAGTCGCTGAGTTGGCACTGCCTCTCTCTCTGCTGCTAAAGCTACAGATAGCAAATGCTACGGGCTATGCCTGAGCGTGAACGCGCATGAAGCAGCCTGCTCGACCCGAGCAGCTCTCTTTTTCTGTGATTTTACAGAAAAACAGGCAATCACAGTAAAAATGCCAGGGCTAGGGTTAGGGTCAGGACCAGGGCATTGCAGGAGAATGTATGAAGAAGAAATTAATTTTTTCTATACATGTTTTGGCTGTCAAACTCCCTTAAAGTCCCTTTAAGTTAAAGTTGATTTAGTGGTGTCATCACTGCTTTCCTTCTGAGGTCAATTGTTTAAGTGTTTCCATTGAAGTGCATCTATAGAGCTCCGGGAGTTGACGTCACTTCTCCCGGCATGCAACAGTTCAAATCGAAACGGCGCCATATTGGCATGCAGAAGCCGGCAGCTGGACTATTTGTTATTGTCAGAAAACTCAATCAAACGGGAAATATGGTAGATTCCTGTTGTGCCCCAGGATGCAGAACAGACGCGGACGACATAAGGAATGAGCCTTCTACAGGATTCCCCAGGATCCGGAGCGCCACAAACGTTGGATCATTGTAATAAAACGCGTTAGTGACCGGGCGAAAATGAAACTGTGGGATCCCGAGAGTAAAGGTTTTTGCTTATGCAGCGACCGCTTCATATCAGGTATTTAAACCAACGTTTCCTCAACTGTGTATGGTATTTATTTTAAATGCTTTTATTACGATTCTTAGTGGGCTTCCTAAACTTATTTTGGCGTGGCTTTTTCTGTCTTATTACTCATAGCAACAAGTAAACATCACGTAAAACGTTGCCTCGTGAGTTCTGCGTGCTGCCGTTTCCGTGTTTTATGATCACAGCAATTAACCGGCTAAGCTGTATTTCATTTTTAAGCAATGGATGATCAGATCACACATAAAAGCACTTTGGATTGCTATTATCTGTCTCACCGAGACTACTTACGTGTAAATCTGTTATTTGTCCGTCCATCCATCCATTTTCATCCGCGTATCCGGAGTCGGGTTGCGGGGGCAGTAGCGTGACTTCCCTCTCACCAGCCGCCGGAGCCAGCTCCTCCGGGTAAATCCCAAGGGGTTCCCCGGTCGGTCCGGTGTTGTGCCGGTAAGAAGTCTGTTCCGACAGCTTCTGGCGTCGGAGGGGGCAGTAGAGTCGAGAGTCCCAGACCTTCTCCCCAACTCCTCCGGCCGGGGGAATCCCAAGGGGTTCCCCGGTCAGGTCCGGTGTTGTGCCGGTAAGAAGGCCGCTCCGACAGCTTCTGGCGTTTTTAAAAAGTATCCCAGGGGCACGGTAAGGGTCGGAGATGTTTAGTCTATTTAATTTCTGACTATATAAAACGATTTCTTCTGTTTTAAAGTGTGAAGTAAACTCCGACGAAGTAAAATCCAAGCGGATCCCGTTCATGTTCATGGTTACATCCGTGTTTGTTTACCTTTTTTTGCATGCCAAAATGGCGTCCACTAACTGAGAGTCACGTGGGGTCCGGAGCTCTATAGGCAGACCTGATCATTTCCTGGTGTGCTTAATCAGCTCTACTGAGGGAGAAACCAATTAACTGAAGAGAGAGGGAAGGGAGAGGATGTTAACCTGTATTTGTTTAAACATAGTTGTTGTTTTTGATCTTTTGAGTTAAGTTAGGATGTTAATATGTAAATTGATTGTTTGAATTTCAAGGATTTCAAGCTGACTGTTGTCCCTGCCCACTTCTTAATGGTTGGTTCTTAGGTAGCTTTACAAAGTCAGATTGTGTTGAGGGTCTGACCTCATGAGGAAATTACTATGCAGTGATTTTCTCCAAAATGACTGTGCTTAAATTGCTCTGAAAAGCAAATAATCACATCAGCGCCAAGAAACTTCATTTCCCATGATGCTTTGCACACGGAAGCATTGTGATGACGTCACCGCCTGATACCAGAAACACGTTCTGCGGGAGGCGGGAGCTTGGAGCTTTCCCGCGACTTCAAAGACTATAAATCATGAATGAGACAAAGAAACCTCGTTCTTTTGCCCAGGATACCTGGCGGTAAGGACACGCTTGTCGAACGCTCCGACAACTTGAGCACGCGGAAGCTCTAAGTGCCCAAGTTGAGCCACGCAACCGCTGGAACCACTCCAACTCCATCGGGACCTGACTGGGAACGAGCGGAGCTCCATTCAGCTCTCAGAGACGCTGTAAGTTGTCAAACTCAGCACAAAAGAAACTTCGTTCTCTTTGTGTCCAGCCCGTGGAGAAACACTCGTGGAGCCAAACAACGGAGAAAGCATCAAACCGACGGATGACGCTGAAAACTGCGGGGAAACACGGAGAACCGTCAAATCAAACAGCTGGGGACGCCTTGCTGCTCTGGTGATCAGAAAACTCATTTCTCTCTCTCCTTTTCTTCTCCCGTTTCCTCTATAGTCCAGAATAAGCAATAAAACCGCGCTATTGCTTAAAAGTAGCTTCGTGTCTTCCTCTTTCGCTCCCAATTCGTCCTTCGGGTCATTTTGAAAGAATAAACTGCTTATTAATCATTGTTTGGTATCTTTAAATGTTTTGGCCATGGCCAGGCTGATAAACTAAAAGATATTAACTTGTGATTAATCTTTTGTGTTGTTTCATGATCCTTTGAAATGTTTTGAGTGATTTAAGGTTAAGTTACTACTGATTCTAAGTGCTTTGGAAGTTAAAGTGCAAGTTGCCACCCACACTTTAGCCAGACAAAGGGGTCAGCCATCTTGCATACAGACTCCATTTTAGAAACACACACACACACATACATACACACAAAACACCTTGAACATTATTTTGAATATACATCCTTTTATTATATCACATGGTTATTATTCATTTATGCCACTGTTTATTCATTTGACAAATTGTTAATTAAACGTTATAAAATTCAGATTTTCGTCTCCAGTAGCTTTGTTGTGTCGAAGAGAAGTCTCTGCTCCAAGGATTCTACGAACTTCAAGAAAGACTGATAAGAGTTTTGGATTCAATTTTTCCCCGGTTAAAGGGGAATGGTGCCCCGTATATCTAAGAATATCTTAATTAATTAATAAATCAGTAAATATTTACATATTTACAGAATTTATTGAAGAATCCAAAAGTAAGTTGAAGCTTACTAATTGTTCGCTCCTAATAACCCCAACATTAATTGGTGCAGCCCGCGTGAGGCTTGGATACACAGAGACTTTCTATCCGGCACAAACAAACAAATAAATCCAAAGAGCTTGAATTAAAAATAATCTGTTGTTCAGCCTTGAACCAGCAACAGAGTGGTGCTGATTTCGCTGAGCAGGAAGCTGCATCGAACTCTCACCAGTAACTCAGTGCTTCTTTAAAGGTGCAAAGTGTAAATTAATTCTGGTTGACCTTTTAGGTTAAAAATTCAGTTTTTCCTTAAAGGTGCAACGT